TCTCTCTCTCTCTCTCTCTCTCTCTCTCTCTCTCTCTCTCTCTCTCTCTCTCTCTCTCTCTCTCTCTCTCTCTCTCTCTCTCTCCCCTGCCGACTTCTTCCGCCGCTTCCCACCATCCCACCTTCGGCCTTTCTCCCGCCTTCCGCCTTCCGCCATCCACCATTGCTAGTTCTCTCTCCCTCTTCCCACACGCACACACACACACACACAAACAAAAAAACGAACTTCCCCCCTTTTTTTTTTCGAGGCCCCGCGCGGTCTCGAATTTTTGTTAATGTTTTTTTGTGGTCTATGACGCGACACCCCACTCGGGTCTAAAACACCCCTCCCCAACTTTGTTTTTTACCTCGACCCCTTATTTTTGGGGTGCGCCGCACCCCGTGCGAGCGCGTCATGCGCTGTGCGCAGTGCGGCGCGTCTGCGCGGTGCACGTCGATGCGCCTTAAGTATGACTACTTTATTTTATTTTTTGTCTTCATTTCCATTGGGATATCAAACATGACATCAAGCCAAACTCTGCTTTGGACGTGAGGGATGCCGGACCTGTTTTCCGGCATGTGCAATGAAAATGCGACCTTGGTATGACCCTGGCCGGAGTGCCCGGATCATGCCGGTAAGGTTGCTCTCTTTTTGGAAAAAAAAAGGGGGTGAAAAAAAACATGTTTGTAACTTTGTATTGTTTACATCTAACACAATCTGTCAACGCTTGCTATGTCTGGTGCATCACTTCTTCTGTTCTATTTTTTTCTTTCCCGGTGGATCTCCACTTCAAGTTCCTCCCCTGATGCAGCAAAATCAGCCCACTGTGAATGTTCCCACCTTCTTGGGCCCATCTGCTTGTATACAGGTAATGTCTGGTGGCAAGGAAGAAGAGGCATGAGCACCAGTCAATGGTGCGCAGCTCCTGCTACTGCACTCTTTCATAAAATTATGAAAAACATTGACAGTCATGTGCTGTTGGATCACCCTTTCGGGCCACGGATACTTGTTAGCTGTTTTTTTTTTTTTTTTTTTGTTTGTTTGTTTGTTTGGTTAAACCACCAGTACACCATGAAACCTGCACCACTTCAGAGGCTGACAATTTGTTTTTTCTTCATCGGAGCGCTGGCCCACCGGGCCCCAAAATCTGAAGTTGGTGGCGACAAAATCGTTCTGCAAGGCTGGGTCCGTGTAACGGTGGCTTAAGGCAAGACACACTTGTTGCTTGTTGGCTGTTTTCTCAATGCGCATGCCAAGCATTGTGCTAAACTGTCTTTTCATGCTGATTTTTTGGGCTGCTATGTGATAATGATGGCTGACTTGTGGAGTGCCACAGATGAACTCTGTGATTTTTTATTTTATTTTTTAATAATCAAATAAAGTTCTGGTCTTCTTTCGTTAAAGCAAAAGAAAAAAAAAGTGGTTGGGTCTTGGTTTGTCACGTAAATTGAATGGTGCGCATGTGTGTTTGTGTGTGTGTGTGTTTGTGTGTGTGTGTGTGTGTGTGTGTGTGTGTGAGAGAGAGGGAGAGAGAGAGAGATTCCATCTTCTGGTTCAGGTAATGGATGAATCGTGCTTACCACCGTTTGCGACAAGGAGGTCGTCGCATGTGATCGATCCTTGCTACACATTGAGGGATCCTTTCTATCAGGCAATGCAAAAGTTTGTCCACACACGCTCTGATGAAGCGAAGTCCATCTCGGGATGTAGTGCTGAAGTGGTGAAAGCCGAGGGTGCTGATGAGGGTGCATTGAACTACTGGTGAAGCGACACAGGAAGGCGGAATGTACTTCTGTCCGGCACTGCCACGGAGTGGAAAACTCAGCAGTAGCCGATCTCAAGTAACCTTCATGCTGCCACTCTTTCAAGACTGATTGGACTGAACCTTTTCCAGTTATTAGCTTATTGCCCTGGGGGTAGTGATGAGGGGACCACTTTCCGTCTTCATCCCACATTCTGAGACTTTTCTTTTTTTGTATGTGTGAGGTTATGCAGTCAGATTTCCCTTTCCCCCCCCTCCTTTTCTCTCTTTCTTAGATCCATGGTCAGCGTCTTCTGTCTGAGTTCTTCAAGCCCACAGACTTCTGTCGGAGGGTTGTGAAGTTGTTGCTCTTCCATCCCCCCCAGTGCCCCCACCCTTGACCCACCCTTGGCCCTGTCATCATTAACCCCCCGCACCCTCCACCCTCCTCCACTTGCTTTGTAGCTTTTCCTTTCATTGACGTTGCGTGTCGAGATCACCATTTGTAATGTCCATATGTCCACTTTGCACTCGCTGATTTCGCCGACATGAATCTGTTGACGTGCCACTCGTGGTAGTTTGTCGAACTTCATCTTTTTCGCAGTTTTACTGAGAGCATGATGGTTAATCTTTTTCACAGTCTTACTGAGAGCATGATGGTTAATCTTTTTCACAGTTTCACTGAGAGCATGATGGCTCCACTTTGCAGAGCAAACAGGTGAAAATTCAGCCGATAGACAAGATGCTAGGAGCGACTGGCCAGTGCAAGATGCACTCTCTGGGCTGGCACCTTGCCTGCCTTCAGTATATGGTAGTCCTATTAATAAAGTCCTACGATTTATCAGTGAGGCCTTGCTCTAGGTCCGTGCTCTAGGTCCGATTACTCCAATCAGGAAGCAAGGCTTTAAGGCGGGGAGAGCAAATGCTGAAACATCATGTCAGGCTAGTTGGTGGTGCAGGTCTGTTTTGCGATATGGCGTGCAGTGCACTGGGGTTGCCCCGTCCAGTCCTGGAAGTAGAGCAGGTATGGTGGACTCTCTCTGTGTCCAGTTTCCCGTTGCACCTTGCCTTTGCTCTCAGAAAAAAAAATCTTCTTTGGAGAAGAGATGTCCCCAGCTGCTATGCACTTTCTCAGCCTTTATTTTATTTCCTCAAGATCGTTCAATGTCCGAAGCACCCAAGGGCTGATGCCTGCGGATTAATGTCACGCCAACGACTCTCTGCGGCTTATGGATGCCAGGACTGCCTTGAGTGAAGCTGACATGGATGCCGCTTGCGATCTCGAGGACTTCTCGAAGTTTCTTCAAGACGAGACGTGTGTATGCATTGACATGGATGCCGCTTACGGTCTCGAGGACTTCTCGAAGTTTCTTCAAGAGGAGGCATATGTTGCCTTTTTTTTTTTTTTTTTTTTT